AACAGATGATTGCCGTATAATTCTATCCATTCCTACTTAGTTACTTCACCAATGTCGGTAGCGCAATGAAGAACTTAAGCCCACATTTTTCCAGGACCGAAGCGGCCTACGCAAGACTAAAACATGAAGTTATCACGTAGCATCTTATTGAAGATGAAAGATATACCGCGTTTTCTGAGCCATTGTACGACTAGACGTCTAGTACCATTGTGAGGCCTCAGGTTTGTGCGCAAACCTGGAGATTTTCGGCTGTTGACGCCTTTTTGGTTTGGTGCGTGCGGATAAACACCACTCAGATGAAATGTCATTTTTTTCAGGCTGCTTCGGATGGAAACACTTTATCACTCTGAGCTTCAATGAGAAGGCTTTGTTGGATAGGAGACTCATTAAATTTATCCAACAGTTTTCTGCTACAGAACTTTATCCTTGTTGCCTATCCAAGGTAGCGATGATGGCGTAGATTTAATGTTTCTTATGAACAATACTGAGAGATTAAGCAAAGTAAGTAGGTAGAAGAGATGGCGCAACAGACTGATTGGAAACTAAGCGCTTATCAGAGCTTAAGACGGTGGGAACTCTCTTGCTTGTTTCAAAACAGCTCACCCAGATTTTGGACCAGTATATTCATTATTCATTTATATGAGTTACATAATGTTTACGTCGATGGAGACGGAGGCTCACCCTTCAGTTGCTAGTTATTAAGGATTGTTTTCTGAAACAGCATTTAATTTTCATTAACGTCTCATATGAATTTTGTTAAGTGTCATATATCCTTTTTAAAATTTTGTATTAGGTCCACCAAATGTTTAGTCATACAATTAGGTAATGAACACAATTTTCGCTTCAAATTATTATCATAATTAAACTTCGAGGCCAATATCAACGAATAGATGAGTAAAAGCTTTGAAAACTAGATTGGTAAGCAGGTTTAAATCTGAAGGCCACCAATAAAAGCAATCGATCTGGTTCGCTATATGAAAAGATTAAGAATAACAAGAAGCAATACTTTTGTGAACCTTGAGCTAAAACGCATCCGACATTGTCTGCAAAGCTACTGGATCCCCGAACCAGTGAACTAAGTTCAAATAAGATTGGTAGATTGGTCATAAGTTGATCATCTTTTGCTGCTTATCCACCGCAAACTTGGGAACCTGCTGTGCTCTACCCAATGTAAGTGACATTGAAATTCCGCCGGTTTTAAGCACACAGAGGTAGAAGAAAGGTTTCGCACAAGTACTCCGGTCTACTGATAATGTGGAAGATGGATTTTCGGTTTAGTGTAGAGATCAACTAACAATACCACTGACTGTATTTTT